CTTTTGTATAATGAAAAATAATAGAAACAGACCAAAGTGTTGATGGAGCAGAATGTGTGCTGTAGAGGCTGTCCAACCGGTTTCTTTTAGTCTCCACAATCTACAATATATTAACCACATTCAAAAGCTTCAGGATGGTCTTGTTTTGGTAATACTGCAGTACTCCAGGACATGATGGATTCGCCTCTGCTGCTCCAACTACTCCTAAATGATGTTTGCTCCAACCTTAAAACAGAAATTTAAAATTGTAAATTTGCACATGTATGCTGCACCACAGCAGTATAGCCTACGTAAATCACGTAAATAACAAACAAAATCACGTACTAACCATTTTAGCAATGGGGAAATGATAGCTGGAAGGCAATAAATAAATATAAAAAAATAACATGAACATGCTTTTAAAACTGTTAAAATTAGATGCAACCGCACACTGAAAATTAAACCCAATGTTTGGTCAAATATGGACAATTAATGACATTTTTTCTTCAATAAAATGTAAATTTGCCCTATTTTTAACCATACTACTGTGTTTGTCCATATGATCCAACATTGGGTCACTGCAAACCAAAAAATTATATGATCAATTAGTCCTGACAGCTTTTGTCTTTATGTCATTGTAACTTATTCAACTGTAAGTTAATCATGTTCTAACTTAATTTTATAAGCTGCGCAAGCTGTTTTAAGTCAGTTCAACATAGCATTGAGTCCATTAAACTTATTTTAATTTGATTCAGTTTAGAAATTTAATGCAAGCAGGATTTTTTACATTGCAGCATTTGCACAAGAAAGGATATAATAGGAATATTTTTTTAAAACAAAACAATAATGAATTTCCAAATACAGTAGGATGTCTAGAGAAAAATGATGTTTGGTTGTGAAAGAAAATTTTGAAATTAAAAATGGACGGAGTAAAATAAGGGGAATATGTCGGCCTACTTATATATTAAATATTAGATGAGTAGGCTAAATTGGCGTCTGAAAACATATATTTAGCGAACTAACTTACGAACGCTTTGGTGGTCAAACATTTAAGAAGCCTAACTAACTAATTGCAACTCTAAACACGATAAAACAGCAGCCAGCTCTACTTTAGGTCCACACTTAAAGCTTGGAGTGTTTTCGGACATTGGGGGGAATTTTGTTACACGAACAAAACGCGATCTCAAGCAGCAAGCGCGACCCCTGAGAGCTCGCCTACAATTGAGGTGCAGTTAATTGGAAGAATTTGCAAACTTCCTCAATATTGAATGGATACGTGTAATTAGCTCCGAACAAAGATTGACAGCAGTCCGATAATCCGCGGGACACACGCTGATTTGAGGGGATTACACACTTTCCCCCTCTATCCAAAACAGCACAAATCCTTTCAACTGTTTGGCTTTTCCCTAATTACAACAGATAATGTTGGTATTTCGAGATTTATTCACACAAGATACACACACATACCTAGAAAAACACTTTGGAAAATATAGGAATTTGAATACAGTACACTGTAAAAAAAATCTTGCTGACTTTTTTGTATCAAATGAACTTTTTCTAGTCTTCTCAATTTACATCAATCAAACTGACTAAAACCATCAAGTTAAGCTTAGTATAACTTAAATTTAGTTGAAACATGAGCTAAAATAAATAAAAATATTTGTCTTCTTAATATTTTTTAGTGTAACTCTTTCAAAACGTTTTTTACCTATATTATTAATGTATCAAATAATTAAAACAATATAACTATATTAGTAATATATATAAGTTTTTTTTAGACGAAAAGGTAATATTTAAGCACACACAAAGTAAATTTTTCTGTCACCTATAGCTTATTAAAAAGTCATACAATCGAAATAATATGGAAATAACATTGCCATAAGAACTCACAAATATATATATATATATATATATATATATATATATATATATATAAACTCATTAAATGTTTTTAAAGCTTCTAAAACTGTTAAAATGAGATGCAACGCTACACTCAATGTTTGGTCAAATATAAAAAAATTAACAAAAATTGTTTCTTTAATAAAATGTAATTTAGGCCTATTTTTAACCCTGCTGCTGTGTTTAGATACACTGAAAAACACTTTTAAACAGTACTTTATTCAAATAAATATGTATCTTTTATTTCAATTTTTATATTATTTGTTTTATTTTCAGTTCAAAACATAGTTAAAAATGTTTTTAAGGGCTTAACTAAGAAAAGTTTGTTTTGACCAATGTCAAAATTTCAGGTTATTAACACAGGTGCATGCAGTGCCGGCCCTATAGGCGAGATATATATATATATATATATATATATATATATATATATATATAAAAATTATTGGGCCCACTGGCGTAAAAATAGTGAGAAGCACACAAAAATATAATTTTAATATTTAAGTGCATGTGTAAAAACATTTACTCATATACTTTATTTTTTTGTTTTCTGGTTTTATCCAAGTATGACATTAGATTTGATTGGATTCAAAGGCAGTTTAGGTTAACCAGGAGTGTAATGGCAGCAAGTGCAGGACATAGGTACAAGTTATAAAGTGCAACAGAAAAACTATGGTGATATTTTACAGATGGATGTAAACATTATATACAGGTTGTATTAACTATGAACAGAGATTTACAATAGAATGATATTTGTACAGGTTGCTATTAATAATCAGGGTTATGAAGATAGATATGAACATAATTACAGATGTATATGTACTATCTATCTATCTATCTATCTATCTATCTATCTATCTATCTATCTATCTATCTATCTATCTATCTATCTATCTATCTATCTATCTATCTATCTATCTATCTATCTATCTATCTATCTATCTATCCATCCATCCATCCATCCATCCATCCATCCATCCATCTATCTATCTTATAAAAAGTCTGTTTATATCTGCAGGGTTTTAAAAAGTCTTAAATTTCAAAAACTTTTAGGCCTTGGAAAGTCTAAATAAATAGACTGAAATCTTGTCTTGTATGACTAAAATCATTTTAAAAGGTCTTAATTTTCCTTTATGTAAAGCTAAGCGATCCAACACCTCCAAGGGCATAGGTGACATTTGGTGGGGGGTGGGGGGTCTGTCTCTAAAAGTGAGGGGGACATACCCCCCACCCCCGAGTGCTACGCCCATGAACACATGCAATCACCTACAAATACATCTGAATAAAATAATCTGAATAAACAGTCTGTTGTGCATACATTGTTTTTAAAGAGCTTTTTTTATGTTGTTAATTATGTTTAATAGTTATGTTGCAAAAAACATATGTATATAACTAGGGTCTGTTTGTTTTGACACATTATTTCAAATATGTGGCTAAGATCTATCCATCTATCTAATATTAGTTTTATTTATTTTTTTAAATATTTGCATATTTGTTCTTATTAAATTTGGCAAATTAACATATACGAGTATGTTTTTTTTCCAGGAAAAAATAGAAAATAAATGTAAAACTTAAAATACTAAAGTACATTTCTGAAGTACACCAAATTCAAAACTTTAAAAAACCTTGTTCACTTAATTACAATTTTATCAATATTTCCATTCTCTTTTCTAATTATTATACATTGCTAATTATAGGCAAATATCATTTTACAATACATCTCTACATAAAAAAATGAAGAAACATTTAATTTCATTTAACTGTTTAGTATGACAATTCTTTATTTATGTCTTATAAAAAGACTAGATTAGTCTGACTTCCTGATCCTGATAGCCGTAATCTTTTAAACACCATAGTAACACAATCTTATTAATAACCATGAAGTTTTTAGCTTAAAAAAAAAAACAGATTTAAAAATAAATAAATAATTTCCCAAACACTTTTTGTCGTCGGATTTTGTTGTTTTCTTGTAAACATAAAGCTACATGACGCATAACATTAAAACGTCATGTCATTAAAAACCTCACAAACATGTCTGTACTTTGGTCACAAATACACAAGAGACCCAAAGCTTTTTAAATAATCTGTTTTTATTCATATTTAATCTGTTCTTACACATCCTATTCATGCCTATTTACCTCTCACAAAATGTGATGACATTAAAACTAAAGAGTCCTAAAAAGCATTACAACAATATGCATCAATGCTAAAGAAAAAAGTTCAACAGTACACATTCATCTCATCCCTTGTGCAAAAAAGCAGAAGGGGTTTTAAACAGAGCTTCTCCACCTCTTCTTCAAGTCATTATATGTTTATGATATATTTACAAGTAAATATTGCAACAGAAAAAAATGGGGAAAGGAGAGAAAAATAGGCTACTAAGCGTTTATTCAAATACCACACACAAAAAAATAAAGTCCAACAGCAAAACCGAGAGCCAAAATCTGACCTACAATCAGATGTAGCAGCTTTTGGGGATTAAAAAACAAAAAGAAAAACATTTGCGAGTTACCCTTCCACATTTTTAGATCAAAATTCAATCATCGATCACAGTTGATCAATCTTAATTTGAAAATGCCAGGACAAAAAATAAATAAATAAATAAATAAATAAAATAACTAAAAATCACATGCACTGCATAAAAAAACAAGCTTTTCTTATTTAGATTATTAGTTAGTTTCTAGTGGCGGCACAGTGGCTCAGTGGTTAACACTGTTGCCTCACAGCAAGAAGGTCACTGGTTTGATTCCCAGCAAGGTAAGTTGGCATTACTGTGATGTTTGCACGTTCTCCCTGTGGGTTTCCTCCACATGCTCTGGTTTCCCCCACAGTCCAAAGACATGCGCTATAAGTGAATTGAATAAACTAAAATGACCAAAAGAAAATGAATGCATAAATCTTTGTTTCTAGTCAGAATATTAAAACATTTTTACATCAAGAAGCATTTAAGCTCAAAAAATGCCTTTTGGTGCATCTTTAAACTACATATGTAAAATGAGTTGAAACAATGCAATTCTTCAGGTTTTTTGGGGGACAACTTAAATGTTTTACGTATAATGGAGTTAACTTAATTTGTGTTGGAACAACTAAAGGAATTGTGAGGTCGTCAGTTTTTTTTTATTTTATTTTTTTAGTGTAGACAAGCTTTTCACCTAAACTTTTCACTCATCATAGCACACATTACATTACAATAAAAGTGATTTGATTTGAAGTAATATTATTGCATTGTTTTTAGAAATAAGAAGTCAAAATTAAATGTGTTTTTTCTTAAAACAAGCTAAAAAGTGAGTTTAAGCAAAGTAAACTTTTTAAACTAAAACTAATTCTTTTTACTTTTGTTTTTGATTGTTTTCAGGAAAAACACACTTCAATTCGACATTGTTTCTAAAAACATCAATGTAAAAAAATGATGGGTTCCACACAATTCCTTCATGTTGTCCCAACTCAAATCGATTAAGTTAGTCGAGTTAACTCAACTGTTTTTACAAATTTAAGTTGATTAAACATTAAACAATCTAGTTCTCAAAAACGCCCCCAAAAATCATTTATTCAACTCATAAATTAGTTTGAACAATTAGCAAACATATTTTTTAAAGTGTTGCTTGTCTAAAAATGCTTCTCAATATATGCTTCTGCATTTTTTTAGCAGAATTTGACATTGTTTCTGAAAACATTATCTAAAAAATGCTTAAGAATTTTTAGATATTTGTACTAGAAAGAAGACAAAAACCCTAACGCTGAGTTCAGACAGCACGATTTTCAAAGTAGTTGCGTCACAGATGTTTTCACACTGCATGACAATCTGGGGTAGCATTCGTTCGCTGCTGTGTTTACACTGTAGGATGGATCGGTGACAGGTTTCACACTGCATGGCTTTACAACAGGTAGAATCGACCAACAAACTACGTCTTACAATCAAACACAAGTGAGAAGTGACATGGAAACAATGTGAGGTCGCGTAGTATATACTTTGTTAATAATTACACAATGAGAAAGAAGCCTTTAGTGAGGTAGAAACTGTTGTACTTGTTGTGCTCAGCCTCACCTGGCTATTGAAGGGAATTAGCAATTTCTCCACAACTTTTTTTTTTCTTGACCCGGTTGTGATATAGCTCAGATAACACATCAAACAGGCATGGGTGCCTCTGCCAAATTTCTACTAGTTTTTCCTCCATTTCTTGCGTCCAAATAGACCGAAAAGAAGCATTTTTAACTTCTCCCCCATCCTCCCGTTGGCCTGCAGATATTCTTACTAGTGGATGCTGCTCTCTCATTGGCTGTAGGTGATCGTGGATGTTATTTTTCAATCAGAACACATTTCACACAGCATGATTTGAATAGCCGACAGCTCCAGATGTTTAGCATGCCAAATATCTCACGGGCGTTGTGCAACTCATCAGCGATTCTCTCAGATCTTTGATAGTTCACACTGTGTGATTGTTACTTACGTGAAAGAGCACCGATTTGCTTGTGATTTCAGTCATTTGTCTGCGATTTCTCAAAAACTCTTGGCAAGTCAAAATTAGGGGCTAAAATCATGCAGTCTGAACTCGGGATAAGAATTTGACATTGTTTCTGAAAACATTACTTGTCTAAAAATGCTTCTTAATTTTAGATATTTGCACTATATAGTAACAAGACAAAAACTTCAGGTAAGAAAAGCCTTTTTTTGTTTTGCAGTGCACATTTTTTTTCTCCTCAAATCTCCTCCAAATCAAAATCCTGACCTTTTTTGTTGTTGTTAATGTTGTGTGTAGAAATGCGCAAGTTTGTTAAACCCCTACATGACAGAACATTTCTCCTCGGCCTTGGACTTCATCTCTGTCAACGTAGCGCTGGCTTTCTCTTTGATCTGATCCATGTCCATGTTTTGTAGATTCTGAATCTGGCCCATGATGGAGTCCTTCTCCTCTTCTTCTGTGGCATCCTCATCCACCATCTTCAGTAGCTCTTCAGGAACGTCCACATCGTCTCCGGCCATCTGCAGCATGTTCTCGTCCTGCTCGCTCTGAGGAGAAAACGGGTAAACAAGCTCATATAGTGCTGGATGAGGACTCGGAACAAACAGAGATAAATACAGGGATAGTTCAGTAATCCAGATTGTCACAAATGCTGTTTGGCGAGGCAGCAGATTAAAGGTAATACTGTTGTAAAGATATGTTTAGTTTGTTTTACAGACCTGATTGTTTCACTTCATAAACTTTTAATGCTCGTTTCTTTCTTCTGTTAACCACAAAAGAAAATCATGTAAAATATGCTGGAAACCAGTAAATATTGACTTCTATAGTATTTGTTTTTCCTACTATGGAAAAATCTTCTTTTGTGTTCAACAGAAAAGGAAACTTATTAAACTTAAGAGGCACTTAAAGGGGAATAAATAATGAGTAAATGAACATTTGAGTAAATTACCCCTCTTTAAACTAGTTTTACCTGTATATTTTTATTGACTTCACGATTTAAGAAATACCAAGGAACAGTTTCATCCAAAAATAATCTTTATTGTTCAACTGAACATTACTTGTGTGAGTTAAATAAGAGCTAATTTTTATTTTTGTGTGCTCTCTCTTTAAGATAATAAAAAAAGGTTTTAGGAAGTGTCCTACACTCAGAAGGCTGCATTTGTTTGATCAAAAATGAATTAATATTATTAAATGAATATTATTATTATTTTAAATAAGTATTTTCAAATATTTTAAAATTTAATTCATCCCTGAGACAGCAGAGCTGAATTTTTTAATGTCACATAATCCAGCAAAAATCTAATATTTTGTTTAGTGCTTAAAGGGGCAGTTCACCAAAAAAGAAGAAAAAAAGAAAAAAATAATAATTTATAACCCTCAATTGTTGTTTTATTTTTTACAATTTTTTTTAGTTTTTTTTTTTTACTTTTATTATGATAGGACAGTAGAGATTTCAGACAGTAAAGCATTCGCAGTAGAGTGAGGGGTAGGATCGACAAAGGACCTCGAGCCAGGAATCGAACTCGGGTCACCGTGAGCACGTCAGTATGAAGTTTGTTGGAAAAAGCATCCATCATAAACGATAGAATTTTGCTTTTTGGATGAATAATTCATATTATTATTGTAGTCATTCTTTCCAAATTTGAATTTAGTTTTTGCTGCTTGTGTCACAATTATAAAAAGCATTTATTTCAAAATGAAACTGTGAAAAAAGCATTCTTTTTTTTCTTTTGTTTGACGTCTCTTGAATCAATTTATGTCCTTGTTATACATTGCTTTATTCTAATATGCTGTCGCAACTGTAAAAAGAATGATAAAGTCTGAAGTAGCATGTGGAACTGGAGAAATGGTGCCAAAAACTGATCTTTGACATTACAGGAATACATTAACTATGTGGATCAGAGACGCGTTAATTTTTTAAAATCACCCCAATCATTTTATCATGTGTCCCGAAAATCTGTACACTTTATTTTTTTTACACAACATTAATTTAAATGCTCCTATTAATTGTTTGCCATTTGTTATGATGATAAGTGTCATGATAAGACCCTCAAAAATAAAGGTAAAAAAAACTGTGGCAGCACCTTTTCAAAGCTACAGTTTTGTAGTTTTTAGGCACTAATAACAGTGTATGAACCTTTAAAAGTACAATTTGGATCCTTTTGGCCCGTTTCCACTGAGTGGTACAGTACAGGTCACCTATATAAGGCTTGCGTTTCCACTGCCAAAAAGGTACCAATGGTGTGTGTGGTGTACAACAGAAAGTTTCAGTCGACGTCATTCTTGATCTAGAAAATGTAAAGCTTTACAAGTCGTTCACGTATCATATGAGAAGCGTTTCTCACAGAACAGATGCTTTATACACATAAATACTAGTGTATGTTGCTGTGGTAGGTACCTTTATTGTATACTTTTATGGTGTAATGTCTCGGCTGTGTATTTAAAAAAAATGCTGCTTCCTTTATTTTCATTCTCCTGGCTTGTGCATGAGCTAGTGACACATCTGTGTTAAAAAATAGCGGTCAGCTGCGCGTCTAGCTCCGGCTTTTGGTACCCTTTTGTTGTGCTAGGTACCCTTTCAAAAGGGTACCCAAAAAAGTGGTATGGTTCATTTTTTGGTACTTTTTGACAGTGGAAACAGCCATAAAAGCGTACCGAACTGTACCATACTGTACCACTCAGTGAAAACGGGCCATTAGGTACCAACATGGAACATTCAAGTAAAAATGTGTCAGCAGTTTCTGGAAAGCTACTTTTAAAAAGTAATATATTAAAACCTTACGCCCAGCATAGACTAAATAAATAAATATTATGGTAGGGAAATGTCCTCGAGCCTGGATTTGAACTCGGGACACCCTGATGTGCTACTGCATCATATGTCGGTGCGCTAACCACTAGGCCAGGGCTGTCAAAACTCGATCCTGGAGGACCGGTGTCCCGCAGATTCCATTTCCAACTTGCCTCAACACACCTGCATGGAGGTTTCTAGAAAGCCTAAGAGCTTGATTAGATAACCCAGGTGTGTCTGATTGGGGTTGGAACTAAACTTTGCAGGACACTGCCCCTCAAGGACCAAGTTTGGTCACCCCTGCATTAGGCTATTTTGCCAACTATTTATTTAAATTTATGAATTAATTGTATCTATCACACTATCAACACATTACTTTCCTTAAAAAGTAACTAACTACAATTAGTTATCTTTTAAAAAGTGACTCAAGATTGTAAGATATCACTTTTAAATGTAACTTTCCCCAACACTGTACCCTAGTGACCACTTTTGTACTTATATTCCCATATGTCCTACAGTGTAAGGCAACATCATTTATTATACATTGACTGCAGGACTATTTAAGTGGAAAGTAAAATGCTAAAAGAGGATTCAAATGTTAATGAATTGTTGAGTTTGTCTTTAACATGCACCACAGTTCATAATTTAGTTTATTCAGGTTTATACATGGAGTTGACTGTAAAGATAATGTTAGAGAATACTGCTATAAAATAAGATTATCATACAGCTCAAGTCAAAATTATTTACATTTTTTCAAATATTTCCCATATTGAGAAGATTTTTTACAACAAAATTTTTAACATTATTGTTTTAATAACTAACTTGTCTTTGACATGATGACAGTACATACTATTTATTTTTCAAGATGCTAGCGTCCAGCTTAAAATGCAATTTAATGGCTTAAATAGGTTAACTATATGCAAGTCATTGGTAGGCATGAGCCGGTATAAGTTTCTGACAGTATGAAAACCTTGAATAAAAATACCACAGTGTCACACTATAGTGATTACTGCTTTAAAACATGTTATTTTTAAATGTCCGAGTAAAGAAAACATTTTTTTTTCTCCCAATAAACACAATACATTTTATTTTAGCAAACAAAAAACATTTTGGAGCAGAAAACATGTCAGGCTAAATAATTCAAATAAATCATTGACTTCTGCTGTCTTTATTAGTTTCAAAAAAACATTTAAAAACCTTACATACCCTTGGGAATGGTATAACAAATTTTTAGCGGTTTCAAAACCATGACTTTTGCAAACCACGGTTATCATTCCATGCCAAGTCATTGGACAACCGTGGTTTGTTCTTTAGCCAATCAAAAAAATATATTTCCCAAAGGGGCTAATAATTTTGACCCTAAAAAACTAATTAAAAAACATTTAAGCAAAACTAAAAGAAATAGGCCTTTCTTTAAAAAAACAAAATACAATAGCAAATACTGTGAAAAATTCCTTGTTTTCTTAAACATCAAGAATTAAAATAATCCAGGAGAGAAACTTGTCTATATATTTTTTTAAGAAGAAAAAAAACAACACGTGTATGAGTTTCAACAAAAAAATGAATCAGCACAATATTTGATGAGCACCATCAGCCTATTTGGACAAATTTCGAAGAATCAATTGACAGAAGACTGGATAAAAGAAGCTGAATTTTTACAGTAATTCATTACAATGTAGAATACATTAAAATAATAATATTGCTGTTTTGTACAGTAATTCGGCGCAAATAAATGCAGTACGGGTGGACATACAGAAAGAAACGCCCTTGAAAAACCTGATAGTGTGCCTGTAAACACATCACAAAATGATGCTTGCTGTTTGTTCAAAACTATTTATTTAAAACGAGCTAAAACAACTCCAGATATTTGTTGGGGGAAAACTTAATATTTTTTTATGTTCAATCTATTTAAATTTGTAAAAATTAATGAGTTAACTTAATTCATTTATGTTGTCCCAAACCAAATTAATTGAGTGCACTGTAAAAAATGCTGGGTTTCACACAATTCCTTCATGTTGTCCCAACACAAATCAAATAAGTAACCTAATTATTTCTTCAAACTGAGGTGGATTGAACAAAATAATTAGTTGTCTCCAAAAAACCTTAACAATTGAATTGTTTCAACTCATTTAGATTAATCAAGCAGCAAAAGTTTGAGTGTGTATAAACTTAGAATCTTAATTGGTTGTTTATACCCAATTTATACCTGAATAACCTAAAAAACGACTGATGTTTGTATTTGAGAAGGAAGAGGGGTAGAAAAGTGTCTTACTTTGGGAAGTCTGTATTTTTCTCTTAGACAGACCCTCAGAGTCGCCCTCTCTGCTTTCTTGTGCAAGAAATCTGCATCTCTTTCCATTCTGTGGATCACAGATATGTTGACAATACATTATCACATGCAAAGACAAAAACAGTTTATAATCTAGCTTTTTTTTTTATTAAGTCTGTGCAATACAGTGGATACAAATCTTGTGATTTTAATGTAAAAAAAAAAAATCATTCCTCCCTAAACATGTATAATTCTGTGGACAACATGCATTGCTGTTTGTGCGTGACAGAAGACTGTAAGCAAATGAAATGACCTCCGGGCTTTAGCTTTACAGCTTAATTTGAGATCAAGAGCTTCAGATGCTTACAGTCATTGTTTCGGGCAAGCGCTATACGGCTATAAAAAGTAGATCGTGAAATCCTGCGGGTGTTTGAACTGAAGCTACACAAAGATCTTGAGATGTTTCGATGTAATCTCACAGCAGACATGTGTGTTTATTGTATGAATCATCTGTTTCTGACATGCTCATATTTCTACTTAGCAACTAGCATCAACAGTTACCTCAGCTGAACATGAGGAATATTAAATCTTCGGATTAAACATAGCAATAGTTGCAATCAACATATCTGATGTTGGTTTTTTTTCATGCTTGATTTTGGAAATCTCTTTATTCCCTCAAGACAAAATCTAACAGCCTAATCAAAATGTGTTGTCTTTAAGATTTCAAAATACAGTAGTCAACATTTGAAGTGGATCAAAAATATTCTTGTTGTTAAATAGTTTAAGGACAACTTTGATAAAAGGTTTGGATCCACGTCAGATGTTGACTAAACTGTAAAATCACATATTGTACATATGACTGGTACTAAGTAAATGTATAAGTAGACAAGAAAGCTTGAAGCAAGCTTGAATGAACACCATTATTTAAATGTATTATTTTGGTTATGTAATAACGTTGACTAATTATTATTATTATTATTATTATTGTTGTTGTTGTTGTTTTTGAATGTTCAGATAAAACAATAAAATCAGACTCCAATTTTAAAACCACGATGAATAAGTCATAAATAAATGTCAGTTAAATCTTTATAACAAAAAGCAAAATGGCTGACGGTTGAGGCCTGGTTACAAAAAATAAAATGCATAATCCATTCATAAAAGCAAACAAAAATAAATACTTAAACCTATAAAAATAAATAAAAATAATTAATCCATTCATAATTACATGTGAAAACAAACAAACAATAAATGAAGTAAATAAATAAATAATCCATAATTACATGTAAAAACTAAAAACAAATTAAATTAAAAAGCAAAATAATACATTCATAACTACGTTTAAAAACAAACAAATAATAAATACCTAAATAAATAAACAAAATAAACAATTAATTCATAATTACGTGTGAAAACAAATAATAAATGCTTAAATAAATAAATTAATAAAAAATTATTAAAAATAAATAATAAATAAACCATTCCAAATTACTTGAAAACAAACAATACATAAGTAAATAAATAATCCATTCATAATTATACAAACAAAAATAAATAAATACTTAAACAAAATAAACAATCCATTCATCATTTGTAAAACAACCAAAAGAAAAAATAATAAAAAATAATGACAATAAAAATCCATTCATAATTATATGTAAAACAAAAAACAATAAATTAATACTTAATAAATAAATAAACAAAATAAACAATCCATTCATAATTAGTGTGAAAACAAACAAATAATGAATACTTAAACAAACAAACAAACAAATAAAAATATTTGAAAAATAAAAATGAATAATCTAATCCTAATTACATGTGAAAACAAACAAACAAACAAACGAACAATAAATAAATACTTAAATCAAACAAAATAAACAATTAATTCATAATTAGTGTGAAAACAAACAAATAAATACCTAAATAATTAATCTATTCATAACTATATATAAAATCAAATAAATAAAAAATTCAACATAATACATTCAGAATTACATGTAAAAAATAATAAACAAATAAACCAATAAATAAATACATAAAGGACCATAATACATTAACAAATAAATGAGTAAATTAATACACATATAAATGTAAAAGAAAAATAAATGGATAAATAAAAACAATAAAAAAACAAAAACAAATAAATGCATAAACACATTTCGAATTTTATATTCACAGGAGGTCAAAGATTCACCGTTCTACTTTTCAATGCACTCGGTTGCTATCATGATTGTTTCTAAAAATAGCATTATTCAGCTCAACAAGGCCAGGATAACCCGTGCTAAGCCCTGCTCTTAGGACTGATTAGCAGCTCGCACCTGACGCTTACTTTCTGATAGCAAAATCGAATCTGTTCATCTTTCATCATTGACGTTATCATATTTAATGCATCCTGATGAGGTATGACTACCAGTAGTTTTGCATTAATACTGAGAATAAATAATGCCTTCATGAGGATGCATCATTGCTTGTATAGCAATGGAAATCAATGCATTACAATTTAATCTGAACACACATTTTCTGTGATGTATGATTGACTTTGAGAGTGGAAAATACAGAAGGAAATCCAAAATCAACTTGCTTAGAGTTTTGATAACATTGGGATTGTATTAAATCTCACTAAGAACTAATAATAAATCTTAAAAGTGGAAATAACAGCAACTTTAACTGCAAGATGCAACATATAAGATTCTCCAATCCACTTTGTCAAGGTCATTTAATGTCATGTATGCAAGCAAAATTAGGGCCTAAACGTGACTTACTTCTCCTCCACAAGCTGTTTCTGGTACTCCTCATATTCTTCTCGAGTCATCCCGGCGGCGGCAGCAGGGTCTTTAGGGGTCTCCTCTTCAGCCTTTTCATCTCCTCCTCCAAGTCCCATTCCTTTCAATGGGTTCCCCACCATACTTTTGATTAAAAACGCCATTATTTACCACGCCGGAGTCTCTAGCTTGATGCCAAGTTGCGATTTCCTGAAATATTTGGGTCTGAATCCTCGATTTCCACTATAGAAGTCCTTTAGATTGATTGCTGGTGGTCAAATTGGAGCTAGGCTAACCGACCTGCCTGTGCTATCAAGGACACACTGTTGACTAGGGGGGAAAAAAAAAAAAAAACGTTTATGCTGCAGCCATAATCTGGATTAAGATGCGTCCGTCTACACAGAGGCAGATGGCTGTGTGCTTTGCTGCACTGTAAAAGTGAAAGACCTCCATGCATTTATCCATCAGGAGTTGCAACTAAAATATCAGCGACACAGAACAACCTGAGAGAAAGTGGAAAACTCTATATTTTGTGTTTTGGAGATTAGGTCGGCCTCGGTTTTAGATGTCTCATTTGTGTCCACCCACTGACTGCTAATCACATTACTTAATGAGGCACTGAAGTGCATTCGCAGACTTTCCGTTTATAACCTTTCTGAGGCCAGAGACCTGTGACGGGATTACATACCTGTTTATCTGTTCCACAGATGGAGATGAGGTGCATCCAGAAAGTATTCATAGTGCTTCACTTTTTCCACATTTTATGTTACAGCCTTATTCCAAAAAAGATTAAATTTATTGATTTCCTCAAACTTCTACACAAAATTATCTATAATCACAACATGAAAAATAAGTTTTTTTAAATTGTTGCAAATTTATTAAAAATAAAAAACCCTGAAAAAAAAAAAAAATCACATGTACATCAGTATTCACAGCCTTTGCTCAATACTTTGTTGATGCACCTTTGGCAGCAATTACAGCCTCAAGTCTTGTTGAATATGATGGCACAAGCTTGTCTTTGGGAATTTTCACCCATTCCTCTTTGCAGTTCCTCTCAAGCTCTATCAGGTTGGATAGAAAGTTACAGTGCCATTTTCAGATCTCTCCAGAGATGTTCAATATGGTTTGGGTCTGGGCTGTGGCAGGGCCACTGATTGCTGCACAGATGGTTGTACCTTGTCCCCCGATCACTCAGCTTAGATGGCAGGCCAGCTCTAGGAAGAATCCTGGTGGTTCCAAACATCTTCCACTTATGGATAATGGAGGCCACTGTGCTTATTGGAACTTTCAGAACAGCAGAAATTTTTCTGTAACCTTCCCCAGCCTTGTGCCTCCAGGCAATCCAGTCTCAGAGGTTTACAGACAGTTCCTTTGACTTCATGCTCGGTTTGTGCTTTGACATGCATTATCAACCATGGGAGCTTATATAGACAGGTGTATGCCTTTTCAAATCATGTCCAATCAACTGAATTTACCACAGGAGAACTCTAATTAAGCTGCTGAAACATCCCAAGAATGATCAGTGGAAACAGAATGTAGCTTAGCGCAATTTAGAGCTTCAAGGCAAAAGCAGTGAATACTTATGTATATGTGATTTTTCAGGTTTTTTATTTTTAACAAATTTGCAACAATTTCAACAAATCTTTTTTTCACATTGTCATTATAGGGTATTGTGTGTAGAATTGAGGAAATACATGAATTTAATCCATTTTGGAATAAGGCTGTAACATAAAAAATGTGGCAAAAGTGAAGCGCTATTAATACTTACCATATATCTAACTTACTTACCAGCACAGTATGATTTCACCACCATGTTCGGCAAACATCTAGATTTCTGTTGATTTTGGTATTTGTGTCCTGGGAAGATTCAAGAAAAATAGATAGTGTGTTAAACATGACAATTTATTGAACTTATGAAAAAAAGAACACTTACCTTCAGATGTTTTAGCTGGTCTTCAGATGGTCTTGATTTCCCCCTTCTGAAAATTAACCATGTCTTTTATTGTGGGAAATGTATTGACCTCATTCCTCAATGCGGAAGTGTGCTCGTTTTTGCGATTGTTTTAGAACTTCAGATTCAGTTGCCTATGGGAGGAATGACTAGGAATATAAAACAGTCAAACTACTTGCTCAACAAACAAGTGTTTTCATGAATATACAGACAAAGCAGAATAATAAGAAAATATCAGTTTGCACCATCAAGCAGCATAACGAGCTGTTTTAAGCGTCTAAAAATAAATGGAAGTAAATGAAACCAAAAGTCTGGAGCCAAAAAGATTCAAATGGCTGCGCCCGCTCGTACATGAAGAATAAGATCAAAAGTTTACATTTTTAAAACAGTTTTACTATAAATACCAAGGTTAAAATATGGTTAGAGTTGCAAAAACTAGAGTTACTTATATTTTTTTATTTGTTAAGGATTGGTTAATATGAGGGCTGCTGTGGCAAAGATGTGGATTTCAATGTGGCATTTTAAAATAATTAATATGATTTAAAAAAAAAATTGTAATAATGCACCTAGAACTCACCCCTGTGGAACTCCACATGTGAGCTTTCTCTCTCTCTTTCTTGAAAAAAACAAACAAACAAACAAACCCACCTCATTTAACTCCATTTGACTCCAGTGTACATGGCAGGACTGGTTAGGAGGTCATGATGGATGGAGGCCAGTAGGCAAATTTGGCCAGAATGCCAGGGTTAAACCCCTACTTTTTTAAAAAAGACATCCTGGGATTTTTTCACGAGCACAGAGTCAGGACCTCGTTTTAACGTCTCATTCGAAAGATGGTGCTCACTGATCAGTATAGAGGCCCATTCATTATATTCATTAAGCATTCATTTAGTTGTTCAAGTGCGAAACGAGACGAAAGACCGCAATTTTTGAGAAATTGTTATAACTTTTCTAGAAAGTCAAGTTTACATACAATACGATTATTATGCCTCTGAAAACGCTCAGAAGATGGTGTCAAGGTTACGGAAGTTTCTGATTGGCTAATTGACGAGATTTGAGTTAATTGGAGGACTGTGGAATAGTATTTAAGGAAAACCTCAAACACACTGCTTCCTTCTGTGACAACATGGGAAAATCAACAAGCCAGAATCAACAAAAAAGCCAGATTACAGTTTGCTAAATTACACTGGGGGAAAAAAATAAATTAAAAAAAAGTACTTTTTGGAGACATGTCTTGTGGTCTGATAGAACTAAGACTGAACTGTTTGGCTAAAGTGACCAGTGTTACATTTGCAGGACAAAGATGAAAGCTTACAAGCCTAGGAACACCATCCTAACTGTGAAGTATAGGGATGGCAGCACATGTTGTGGGGCTGTTTTGCTGCAGGAAGGACTGGTCCACTTCACAGCGTAGATGGCATCATGAAGAAAAAACATTGTGTAGAAATACTGAAGCAACACGTCAAGACATCAGCCAAGAAATTAAAACTTGGCCACAAATAGGTCTTGCAAACAGACCATGACACTAACCATACTGCCAAATTAGTTCAAAATGCTTTAAGGACAACAGATTGAATGTTTTGGAGTGGCCATCACAAAGCCCTGAGCTCAGTCCTATAGAAAATGTGTGGGCAGAGTTGAAAAAGCTTGTGCGAGCAAGACAGCCAACAAATCTGACTCAGTTACACCAATTCTGTCAGGAGGAATGGGCCAAATTCCTTCAAACTACCGTGAAAAGCTTGTGGAAGGGTACCCAAAATATTTGACCAAAATTATACAGTTTAAAAGCAAAGCTAAAAAAAAAAAAAAAAAAAAAAGGAAAAAAATGTAAACTGTCTGGAAAATTAATAAAAAAAAATAAAAAAAATTCTCTCATTCTGGCATTTAGCAAATATAATTAATTTAGGTAATCCTAACGGACCTGAAATAGTAAACATTTAGTATGATTTACCATCAGACATTTTTTAAAAAATGGTTATGCTCCTTTTTAGTTTATGTAAACTTTTGGTTTTAACTGTACATTACTAGTTTTCAGTTAAGATTTTGAGTTTGTTAGCTTAGTAGCAGAACATTCACACCTAGAGCAACAAATGCCCTATTTCTAAAACACAACACATAACATCCTTAGTGCAACCGATCCTTCACACTCCAACAGCCGCTGTGGACTTCTCTAATGTGATGTTTTAAGCTGGTTTAACCCCAGGGGTGATCATAACTTGTTAGCTTTGGTATAAAAGAAAGAATAGCCCAGTTTTCAGCTGCTGAATATACCCATTAGCTAGCACAGCATTAACATTTAGCAGCAAGTGTTTTCACACTACAAATCACATCCTAATCACCTATAATCCATGACCCTTTTATGACCCTTGCAAAAAAAAAAAAAAAAACAACTCAATGTAATCACTGAAAGGTCTCATTTTACTTAATTATCCAAAGTTGACAAGTACCTCAGGTCAATTCATGTTGCAGATTGACTATTGTCCCACGGAACAACTCTTGTTTTGTGAGGTGATTATCTCCTTTCAAAACTCTGACACAGTCACAACTGAAGCTCACATTGTCTGTCCAAGGTGAAGACACTTAATGCAATAAGGGCACCATTGTGTCCCTTCAGACCCAGAACTACTCCATTATGGATTTATAGGAAGCATAAACACGGCAAAAACAAATTATTCCTAAACAGAAGGTCATTTTAAGAGGTAATTGTTGCGCACAAAGTTCTTAAGATTCCAATTTACATTAAGTGACAATGTGGTCGCCTTGAAAGGACAACTATTCATACGGAAACAGAGTACTAATGCAAGTAAGACACAAGACACCCTAAACTGACATCCACTTAGCTCTAATAATACATTAGTCTTGAAGTAACAAAGGAAACTCATTAAAATGTGTTAAACAAGGCATTAGCTAGGCCTACATGATAAAGAAATTTTGTTGTGTGAAATATAGTAGCAGAAGTTACTGCGAAATAGTAACTTTGCCTATTATATAATGACTTATACAACAGCCTATAGATGCAACGGACAAAAACTTTAAGATTATTTAGATTCTGTAATTTGATGTTAAAAAAAGTATTGCTTTATATAAACTTGACACAGACGAGTTAGAATGTAAATGTCCTTGTAAAATGGCTTAACGTCATTTGTGAATATCCACTCACCGGCCACTTTATTAGGTACACCTTACTAGTACCGGGTTTGATCCACTTTTAGCTTCTGAACTTCGTGGCATAGATTCAACGAGGTACTGGAAATATTCCCCAGAGGTTTTGGTCCATATTGACATGATAGCATCACGCTGTTGCTGCAGATTTGTCGGCTGCTCCATGATGGAAATCACCCTTTCCACCACATCCCAATGGTGCTCTATTGGATTGAGCCT